AATAGAAATGATGAAATGTTTGCCACAGAGCAAGATATCGCTGCTGGAATAATAAGTGAATTAAGTGTTGAGAAAGCAGGTGTCAGTGTAATGTGCTAAAGCCAAAAATGAACTTTTCCCCAAACATGTAATGATATTTTGTTATCTAGTGCTGATATAATTCACCAGCTGTAGCTGGCTAACTAAAACAGTCTCATTTTTCCTCAAAGTTTTTAAAAAAACCTCTCTTTTGATACCTGAGAAAACTCAGCTAAGCTCTATGAGCCTTTCCTAGCAGGCTGGCTGGTATTGCTACTTGTTTTTGTCAGTCTTTGCTCATCTGTCCCCGAAGCTTATTGCTGGCCCATGGGCAGGGACTGATGTGTGATCACAGAGAATAACAGGGTATTTACTGATGCTTGACTGACCTGTATTTCTAGGAATGCTACCTATGTTACATACATCTTAGGGAGGGGGTTTAACCATGTGTCTGTGTATATTTGTATCTTGTAAGAATGAGAACAGAAGAATGCCTGTGCTGCGCCAGGCTGGGGGCCCTGGCTTGGCAACCTGTATGTGAACATAACTGATAGTAGATGGGCAAAGAGAAATGAAAGAAACAGGAAATATGTCAGCTACATCTGGCATGCTGTCTCAGGATTTGGTAATTAGTAACTCAGGGACTTACTGTATCCAGACCACTCTATCTGCAAGTCAATAGTGCCTAATGCTCAATATCTCTAGTTTATCAGTATTTGTCAATGGAAGGTCTGCTTGCTTGGGAACTGGAACCAAATTCCAGGGTAAACAAGCCTATAAACCAGCCTCCAAACTTTGGCATCTGAGGGTTTGCATTTGTTATCATAATAGTGTTGAAATACAGCTCTTTAGGAATGCTCAAATATCCTTGAGACTGGGGCTCCCAATTGTGACCAATAAACTGAGGAGGGACCTCCACTACAGGAGACTGAGAAGTAGTCAACAAATGCTGACCTCCTTGCTACCTTGGTCCTGGAGGTGGCTACCAAATTCACATGGACTTCAATAATTTCCCAGTGCAGTTAGTTTAAATAAAATCTCAGTTTGTTCTTTGCTGGGGATATAATTTTTGCTGGGGAGTCCACATCTGCCATGGGTAGAAAGTGGCAGCAAGTTCCCCTGGTTCTGGTGGAAATCTGTATATTGACAGAATTGCACAGAATAATAGGATCTAAAGAGGATAGTGCTAACATTATGACTCTGCTTTTTTAAAAGGAGACTTGCTTACTACATAAAAGGTGTAGAGCAGTACTCTGCAGAGGCATGAACTTGCTTACCATTGCCTTGGCAGATTGCCTCACTCGGGTGCTGTTGTCTTAGGTCTTCCTTTGGTGGGACTGTTGGAGTTCATTTGCTGTATGTGTTATTTCATTTACATTTCTATTCCTTTCTTTACCGTTTATGAATAATTTAGGAAGTATTTCCAGAAATTAAGGATGATTTTACTTTTTTCCTAATGAAAGAATCCACTAAGCAGGGGAAATGTGATTTGGGTTGTTTTTTTTTTTAATGCCAAAATCAACTTGTCAGTGGTGCCTTGAGGGATTATAGAGAGGAGCAAATGTTCATTAGGGATGAAAACATCATTGCGCAATTCTCCTTGTGTGTTCCCTCCAACATTCTGTTCCAAAGCAGTGCAAGCTGCTTTGCTTGGCTTTGTGGGGTACTACAGGTAGTGCTTGTTGGATTGAGACTAGCACCCTGACCACCTAGGATACACCTGCACTGGCCAGACATGGTCTGACTGCTCGGAGAGTACAATCATAAAATCATAGAATATCTTAAGTTGGAAGGGATCCACAAGGATCATTGAGTCTAGCTCCCTGCTCCTTGCAGGACTACCTAAAGCTAAACCATGGGACTAAGAGTATCGTCTGCTAATGGGAGGCTTTTCTTATAGTGGAAAATCTTAGATTTGGTGGCCCTCACAGTAGATACTACTCAAAACATTTTTGACTCCTTAGTAACTGCAAATGTATTCAGAGCTCCCAATTGCTGGGAGCACCTTTATTTCCCCACACAATGTGCTGGTTTCCTACTTCCTATCTCTGTGGTATTTAACTATTTTATGGATTTGGTGCTCACCACTGCAAACTCAGAGCCCACTTAATGAGTGAAGCATCAGTCACTGAAGCATCATTGAGCAGGATGGCTGCCAGTGCTGCTAACTAACACTATATATAATATTTTTCCTCCATTTCTGGCAACAGATGAGTATCCACATGTTGTAAACAAGGAAAAAAGGTAAAAGGGGCTCACCAATGTTGGCGGGCAAACCAGATGTTCAGAGTCCCACGGCAGTGATTTGTCTTTTAATCCATATTGTTTCCCTTTTTCCCTGCTGTTCCAATACACCACAGAGATATTTTCAAAGCTTTAATTCAAGTTCAAGCAAAAAATTATGCTTACAGTGTTCACTGGACCTACATCCAAGGAGGCAATGATGTAGTAAAGTGACGAATTCCAAGTTATTCACCTTTTGCCTGGAATTTGTTGAAGAATTTAGGTAAAGTGGTTGCCATTTATTTACTCACTCTCTTCTCGGAAGGAGAAAACACTGGGTTTGTATTTATAGGCTCATTGGTTTTGAGTCATCAGTGTTTAACTCATCTTGCAGGCTGTTAATGCATGGAAATAATAAGTAGGTATGGTAAAAGGAATTTGCTTTGCATGTCTCATTACGAATGCAATAATAAATCAGCTTTGTCCTACAAGATGCTGAGCTCCCCTTAGGAAATGCCGTCAGCATACTTATCTCCCCATACCTTACATGCACGCAGGAATGTGTTCTAGCTAAAGCAAAGCAGTGAGCTTGTTGATCTCGGATACGTTTGTCTGCATAGTGTTAAATAGTGCTATCTGGCACTTACTGCTGCTGATTTAATTAGCTCTCACAGCAAGGATGCTTTGATCCAAAGCACCTTTCAGCTATTTGGGTAGGAAACTGATAGTAAAAAGCCTTGTGATTCTGCACCGAGCCAAAAGTCGTTCTGAAAGAAAGGGTAGGAAATATAAATACTTACCAATTTTTGCATAACAACTTCAAATTAATTTATTTATGGCAATCCTGTCCAGATTAGCATTCTTAGAAATGTCTATAGTTTCAGGATCTCTTCTTCAAAGAACAGGTAATGACTTTTCCTCAAATTATTTCTGTACCCTATTTTGAAGAGTTGCTGGTACGGGATTCCCAGTGAGTTCTTCCTCCGGAGCAGTGGAATTGAGTGTTGTCTTTCACCCATGTTGCTCATCCTACATTAATGACGTTCCCTAGAACTCGTTGCAGCTTTGGGGATTTTTCCATGTTGACTTTGGAAGTCTGTGGGCCTCAGTCATTGTATTTTTCTAGAGCTCTTGCTGAGGTGCTTCTCTGTGCAAGACCAGGGTTGCCTGTTTAAGCAGGAAGCAGTGAGCTTCTGTGCTGGTGGTACTGAAGAATGGAATATCGTTCAAAACAGTAGATTTGATCCTGCTTCTGGTTTTATTTATGGTTGTTCCCTTCTCCCTTCCTTAGAGCAAATGCAATTCCTTCTTTGTCTGCTCATTCCCTGCCAGAAATGGGAATGTTCATCCCTTTCTTTCCTACTCAATCTAACCAGCAGCTTTGCTTGCTGTGTCTGCTTCTGGATTCTGCAGTAGTTCTCAGTTACCCCATGACAACATATCCATTTCTACTCTGAAAGCACAGTCAAACTAGGCATGAGGGAAAGTTGACAGAAGTTCAGAAAAAAACAAGTACTCAGGTTGGAGGAAACACAAGAGTGCCCATAGGCCACGTCAAGCTCTGAATTTCAGCAGTT